ATTCGCCAGATATGGCAAAGAACATCATTTCTTTTCATGGTTTGTTTAGACAAGGTTTCAGATATTCATTTGATAATAGTAATGGTTCTATTAATGCTTATTTGAATGGTGTCTTTTATTTCAATGCATTACCTTGTAATGGGATTTATGAATCTGTGTTAGTTATTGACAATTTAGGAAATGATGTTTTGAATATTGATTCGTCCACAAGTTTGGACAAAGCATGCTTGTGGCATTGTCGCCTTGGCCATGTTAACAAGAAACGCATAGCCAACTCCAAAAGGATGAGTATTGGAGTCATTCGACCTTAGGGACGATGACGTGTGTGAGTCTTGTTTGCTTGGGAAGATGACCAAGTCACCCTTTACTGGCACATGTGAAAGGGGTGAGGGTGTATTGGATCTCATACATACAGATGTATGTGGACCCTTTAGATCCACCACAAGGGACGCTTGTCGCTTCTACGTGACTTTTACAAATGATTATAGCAGATATGGATATATCTACTTAATCAAGCAGAAGTCAGAAACCTTTGAAAAGTTCAAAGAGTTCAAGAATGAAGTGGAGAATCAGTTGGGCAGGAAAATCAAGATGCTTCGATCTGATCGAGGGGGAGAGTACCTAAGTCTTGAGTTTCACGACTATCTGAAAGAGTGTGGAATAGTTTCACAATTGACGCCTCCTAGAACGCCACAATTGAATGGTGTGGCTGAGAGACGTAATTGAACCTTGTTGGACATGGTTCGCTCTATGATGAGTCGTGCTTCGTTACCAATCTCATTCTGGGGGTATGCCTTGGAGACTGCCGCCCATATCCTTAACTTAGTTCCCACCAAGAAGGTTACCAAAACACCTCACGAGATGTGGACAGGAAAAGCTCCCTCGTTAGCACATATCAAGGTTTGGGGTTGTGAAGCTTTCGTAAGACGAGAGACTCACGATAAGCTAGAACCTCGTAGTGAGAAGTGTTCATCATTGGCTATCCACAGAAGTCTTTTGGTTATCTCTTCTATAGACCAAATGACAATGTTGTCTTTGTTGCTAGGAGAGGGGTTTTCAGAGAAAGAGAACTCATAAGCCAAGGAGACAGTGGGAGTCAGATTGACCTTGAAGAGCTTCAAGAGTCAGGAGAAGAAGGAACCTCTGACACTGGCGTTCAAGATGAGGAGGAAACTCCTGTTGAACCAATTGACCAGTCCTTACCTCTTAGACGTTCAAGTAGAGTTATTGTTCCACCCCAGTTTTATGGTTTCCATATTACTACTGACGGGGATACGTTTATTAGTGATAGTACACTAGTAAATCTGGACGAACCTAACAGCTACAAGGAAGCCATGGCAGGCCCAGAGTCTGTTAAATGGAAAGAGGCAATGGACAGCGAGATTCAGTCCATGTATGACAACCAAGTTTGGAATTTGGTTGATAATGTACCAGGTCGTAAGACAGTCGGGTGCAAGTGGATCTTCAAGAAGAAGACAGACATGGATGGGAAAGTGCACACTTATAAAGCGCGATTGGTCGCGAAGGGCTTTACTCAAAACTCATGGAGTTGACTATGATGAAACCTTTTCACCAGTTGCGAAAATAAAGTCTATTAGGGTAATGCTTGCAATAGCTGCGTTTCATGATTATGAAATCTGGCAGATGGACGTAAAAACCGCTTTCCTAAATGGGAAGCTGGCTGAGGATGTTTACATGAATCAGCCAGAGGGTTTTGTCAATGCGAATCATCCTAATAGAGTGTGCAAGCTTGAGAAATCCATTTATGGATTAAAGCAAGCATCTCGCAGATGGAATCTTTGTTTTGACGAGAAGGTCAAAGAGTTTGGTTTTCTGCGAAATGAAGATGAGTCATGTGTATATGTCAAGGCCAGTGGGAGTATAGTAGCTTCCTCGTATTGTATGTCGATGACATACTACTCATAGGAAACGACATCCCAACATTGCAGGAGGTCAAGTCCTGGCTTGGGAAGTGTTTCGCTATGAAGGACCTCGGAGAGGCTGCATATATTCTGGGAATAAGGATAGTGAGAGACAGAAGCAAGAGACTGATAGGACTCAGTCAGGATACATACTTGGAGAAGGTACTAAAACGTTTTAGTATGGAAAATTCCAAGAAAGGGGAGTTACCAATCCAATGCAATACCAAACTGAGTAAGACTCAGAGCCCGAGTACAGAGGCAGAGATAGCTGATATGAGCCGAGTACCTTACGCTTCCGCAGTTGGCTCGATTATGTACGCTATGACTTGTACTCGCCCTGATGTGGCTTTTGCCTTGAGCATGGTCAGCAGATATCAAGGGAACCCTGGTAGGGCACATTGGATTGCCGTCAAGAATATTCTTAAGTACCTACGTAGGACCAAGGAATGGTTTCTAGTCCTCGGTGGGAGTGATGACTTAAGGGTGCAAGGGTACAGTGACGCTAGTTTCCAGACAGATCGGGATAATTACCGATCACAGTCGGGCTGGGTCTTTACCCTGAATGGAGGAGCAGTGACTTGGAAAAGTTCCAAGCAAGAAACCGTAGCTGATTCAACGTGCGAATCAGAGTACATTGCGGCAAGCGAGGCGTCAAAGGAGGCTATATGGTTGAAGAACTTCATTGGAGACCTTGGAGTTGTGCCATCCATAAAGGAGCCCATGAATAATGAAGGAGCGGTTGCATTAACCAAGGAACCAAGGGATCATGGCAGATCTCGACATATCGACAGGAAATACCATTTTATTAGACATCGGGTAGAAGAGGGAATCCTCGTTGTGAAGAGGGTATCGTCGGAAGATAACCTAGCAGATCCCCTTACGAAGGGACTGAGTAGGGTTAAGCATTTGCAGCACGCTAGGAGCGTAGGGCTAAAGGACGATATTAGTTTAGATTAGATAGGTAGGAAACTTGTAATGGATGATCTTATATTCAACATTTGATGATTAAATAAAGGTGTGTTATTTATAAGAAAGTTTCTATCTTGTGTTGATTTATTATCTATTGTTTCAATTTTGCATGTTTTGACTTCCTGAATAATAAGATTATTCGAACAGTCCACAATCGCTCATATGTTGGAAGTAGATATGAAGGAAGATTGTCATAAATTTGTTTGTGGATTGTCTAAAAAGTTTTAGACATAGCAAAGGTTTGCTGCAAAGTTTATGAGTGCTTATGAAATTTGTATTGAGCATTGGAATAGACCCGCACTTGCTGGCATCGCTTCATGAATGTTATCACAAGTGATCGCAAGATGATAATATCATATAATCTTTAAACCTAGAGATATGGTTATTGTTTGCTAGTTGATTATACATTGATAATGCGAAAACGCATCAGTAACTTGATGTTATAAAACGCATTATTGTGTGTGGCTTAGCTAGTAAATGATAAAAGCATATAAGTCGACGTTTTTCTGTTCCTTTTATTCTATGAGAATAAAAGCGATATCTTGGCCACTTGATGATTTGGTTTGACTTATGTGCCAGGCCCGGTCAGGATGAAGTTGATGTGTTCAACCGAGTTCTATGTCGAACAAATCAGAGATCGAGAAACAAAATGCTGAACAATAAGTATTGTTAGCATGATATCTAGAACAGAGGATTATAAGATCCCTTATCTGAAGGACAGATTATTGGTCAGAGTTGACAGCGGCTATTGAAAGCTACGATTGCTAATCGGATATGGAAGTCATATGTGAGATATAGTTACTAGACTTATCCAAGTGGGAGACTGTTGGATTAGTGTCTAAGTCCGTAACTATATTTGGTATGTACTTGATCCGAGTGTGCATGGTCCTTTTGGGTTGCCTTCACCAAAGCAACTTGACAAGGTAATTTGATATGAGAGAGAAGATATTATGGTTTATTAATATATTATAAGAATGATATATTAAAGGAGAAATCATATTTATTTAATTAGTATTAGTCATAAATTAATTAGGAATTAATTTGGTGACTAAAAGAGATTAATTAAATAAAGGGGTATAAACTGTCAAATGTGTGATAGTTGAGTTTTGGGCTGAGAAACCCAAAGGAATAAGGAGGAACGGAATTATGATGAGGGATCATCATATTTTCGTCCAAGGGCCTCATTCCAGAAGGTTCCTTGGGCTGCTTGGTGGCTAAGCTATCCATTAGGGTTTAGACTGAAATCCTAGCACCCTACAGTATAAATAGATGCCCTTCAGCTCAGCCACTTGATTCCAAGAGATTCCAACCCTAGGGCCGAAAATTAGTATCCTCCCCTCTCTCTCTTAATTGCCTTCTTGCTTCAAGGTGTTTGTGAGCCATTAGAGGCACTACAATTGTGGTGCTTGCTTTCAAGAGTTCAAGAGATCAAGGAAACTAGTTGTTATTGCAATATAACAACAAAGGTATGTCTACTACACTTCTATATGATTTTCGAAAATTATAGAAGCATCCCAGGGTTTATTTTGTGTTCACATAGTTGCATGTCTTATAGTGAAAACATAGATCCAATCTAGGGTTGCATGCACACATAGGATTGTTTGTATAAATCCCATCAGATTTAAGTTGTTACCTTTTCTATGTATTAAATTATGTGTTGTGAAAACTGAATGTATTTGTTTTGTACGCGATGTAAACTTAAAACGCTTAATGTTTATGGTTGGTACTTCTATTTACCTTTGTGATGAGACCTTAGCCTGTCACTCTTCGTGTTTCCGCTTTAACGGGGTGTGACAGATTTGGTATCAGAGCCTAAGGTTATAGAGAATACTGGCTTCCCCTTTCCTTTAGGGACGCCTAAACTATAACCATTGAGTTAATAAAACATGCCATTTAGTATAAGTGATTCCGATAATGCGCTACTGGACCTTAATTATACATAGCCTGATCACCTATGTATAATTAAGGAAGAGTTAGTGCAAGACCGGAATTGATTATAGTGAATGGTATCAACACCCTAGGATAAACATAAACGTCAAACATAATAGAAATTTTCTAGAAGGCTAAAAATTCATCTAAACATTAGATTTTCTCGTGTACAGCGTAGCCATGTCAAACACTAACTCTCAAGCACTTGGATCGGCAGATGAGTCTGGTTACGTCACTGCGCGCCCGAAAGTCAACCGCGACTTGAGCACCGAACCGACTGAAGATCCGTCTACAGGATCAGAGACTGGAGAGGAAGTGAGCAGCCAGGCACCGACTGAGGAAACTTCAGCCCCGCCGATACCCGAGCCTTCGCGACAGCTGACGCCTCAGCCACCCCTTTATGGACTATACCATAGGAGGACAGCGAGAAAGAGCGCACCAATGCCGAGAGAAGTGTTGAGGTTCGAGCGTCCAGAACCCATGCCAGCACCTCCCTTACCAAGGAGTGAGTGTCACGAGCCTAGTCAGCCTCGACCCCCAGTCATAGGGACGCCTTATATGCGAGCACCCGGGATGACTTGTTAGGAGCGAAGCAGCATGGAGGCCATGGCCCGAGACCTGCATGATGCCCGTAGTAGGATTTCTTATCATCATCACAGCATAGCCGACATGTCAGACGTGGTGGATGCGGTGTGTGGTTATGCATACTCCGCCCAGAGGACAGCAATCAGAGCTATGATCACTAGCGCTATCGCTGGAGGGCTAGCATTGATTCTGGCAGTGGCACTTGTCTGGGTGATTGTGTTTTGGGGTTGAATCAAAGCGTCATGGTTTATGTTTTATGGTCTTTGGTCTATGTATTTTGATGTAATGCCTTTGGCTTATGGCTTTTGAAAAGTATGGTTGAAGTATCTTTTGTAGCTTGCGGTGCCAAGCAGTATGCTTTGTTAAACCTTTATTTACAAACTATGAATGAAAATCTATTTTAATGACTTTCAATTTCCATGTTATTTCGCATTTATATTGTTCATAAACTGTAAATTGTTTTGATGATTTGAAATCTTTCTTGAAAATATATTTTATTATATTTATTTCTTGCAAAAAGAGAGAATTTTTCTTTTTATGATGGTAACGTCTTAAATTTTGTTGTGTGTTATAGAACCATGCCCCAAAGAAGGAACACCCGCTCCCGCCAAACACAGCCTGAGAATGCCACTCCTGATATTGCTCAACTGGTCTCACAACAACTGATGAATGCGATCCCTAACATTGTGGCTCAAGTCACTGCGGGAATCCATACTAGTCAGACAAACCGCGGAGGCCCTACACCTACTGTGAACACGGATGGAAGCGGAACTCGTAATGAGGAAACAAAGGGATGCACCTATAAATACTTCATGTCTTGCAAACCCAAGGAGTTTCACGGAACAGAAGGTGCGGTGGGATTGTTGAAATGGATAGAAGGAATAGAGGCCGTACTCCACATCAGCAAATGCTCAAATGACTGCAAGGTTCCCTATGTTGCATGCCTTCTACAAGACAGAGCTTTAACATGGTGGAATGCGCAAGTCCGAAACCGTGGAAGGGAGGTGGCGAACCAGTTAGCTTGGGAGGAATTCAAAGAGTTACTCAAGAAGGAATACTGTCGTAAGGATGAAATCCAGAAAATGGAATCTGACTTCTGGAACCATGCCATGGTAGGAGCCAATGTAGAAGGCTACACTGTGCGTTTCCATGAACTCGCTGAACTAGTGCCGCACATGGTCACCCCGGAGAGCAAAAGGATCGACCGATACATATGGGGATTGGCACCCGAAATCCGAGGCATGGTTACTTCAGCAAATCCTACCTCAATCCATAGCGCTATAGACCTGGCGCACCGACTTAAGAATGATAAGGTGAGGGCTGGGATATTGACCATAAGCAACACCAGTAACAAAAGAAAACCGGAGAGCCAGATTGGAAGGAAGAAGAATGACAACTCAGAAGGAACAAGAGAAGGGCAACGAACTTTGCGGTTAAAACAGAGGAACCTGTGCAATACCGAGGGCCTAAACCTAAGTGTGAGAAATGCAGCTATCACCATGAGGGTGCCTGCCCTATTTGCCACAAGTGCAACCGATCTGGGCATTTCGCGAAGTATTGCAGGATAGATAAGGATCGCAAGGGTGGTAAACGGGCGTGCTATGAGTGTGGAAGTGTGGACCACTTTAGGAATGCATGCCCGAATCTAAACAAGGGCCCCAACAACAACCAGGCAGGTCATAACAACCGTGGAAATCCAGGAGGTCAGGCTCGTGGGCGAGCATTTGTGATCAAGGCGGAAGAGGCCCGCCAGAACCCGGAGGTGGTAACAGGTACATTCCTCCTAAACAACCACTATGCATCAGTATTATTTGACTCTGGGGCAGATAGAAGTTTTGTGTCACATGAATTTAGATCACTAATCGACTTGAAATCAAAAATGTTGGAACATGCTTACATAATTGAACTTGCTAACGGCCATGAAATTAAGGCTAAGGAGATAGTTCCTAATTGTACCTTGAACTTAGCCGGTAAAAATTTTAGTATTGATCTGATACCCATGGAACTCGGAAGCTTTGACGTAGTGGTAGGAATGGACTGGTTATCCAAGAATCGAGCAGACATAGGATGCTTTGAGAAAGTTGTCAAAATGCCCCTCCAAAACAACGAAACCCTATTAGTGTACGGAGAGAAACCAGGCAAGAACCTGAAGATAGTCTCATGCATGAAGATTCACAAATATCTGAAGAAGAAGTACCTTGCGTTCTTGGCTCATGTAGTGGAAAAGAATTCGGAAGAAAAACATATTCAGGATATTCCAATAGTGCGAGAATACCCCGAAGTGTTCCCGGAAGAGTTGCCCGGACCCCCCCCCCCCAACAAGACAAGTCGAGTTCAGAATTGATCTAATTCCTGGGGCGGCACCTGTAGCTAAAGCACCTTACCGCTTGGCACCTTCTGAAATGCAAGAGCTTTCGAGTCAACTTCAGGAACTTTTGGAAAAAGGATTCATTCGTCCAAGTTCCTCACCGTGGGGCGCACCGGTCTTATTTGTGAAAAAGAAGGATGGATCAATGCGAATGTGCATCGATTATAGAGAACTAAATAAATCGACTATCAAAAATAGATACCCCCTTCCTCGAATAGACGATTTGTTTGACCAACTCCAAGGTGCCTCGTACTTTTCAAAGATTGATTTACGATCGGGATACCACCAATTAAGGGTACGCGACGAAGACGTTCCTAAAACCGCCTTCAGAACTCGTTACGGACACTACGAGTTCTTAGTTATGCCTTTTGGGCTAACTAACGCGCCAGCTGCCTTCATGGATCTTATGAATAGGATTTGTAGGCCGTACCTTGACAAGTTTGTTATCGTGTTCATTGATGACATACTAGTCTATTCCCAAAACAAAGAAGAGCACGAACGACATCTCAGGCTAGTGTTGGAACTGTTGAAAGACCAAAAGTTGTTTGCAAAGTTCTCTAAGTGCGAATTTTGGATTAGGGAAGTACGATTCCTTGGTCATGTGGTTGGAGAAAAAGGAATACACGTGGATCCCACCAAAGTTGAAGCAATTAAGAAATGGGAAACCCCAAGATCCCCGACGGAAATTCGGCAATTTCTCGGATTGGCGGGCTATTATAGGCGCTTTATTGAGAACTTCTCCAAAATTGCCCAGCCATTGACTATTCTGACCCAAAAGGATAGAAATTTGTATGGGAAGAACCACAAGAAGATGCCTTCCAATTGCTAAAACATAAGTTGTGTAATGCGCCAGTCTTGGCATTGCCAGATGGTGTGGAGAACTTCACAGTGTATTGTGATGCGTCACACCAAGGTCTGGGTTGCGTACTGATGCAGAAAGGCAAGGTTATTGCATATGCGTCAAGGCAGTTGAAGGTTCATGAGAAAAACTACACAACCCACGACCTAGAATTAGGAGCGGTGGTATTCGCCCTTAAGATCTGGAGACATTACTTGTACGGAACTAAGTGCACTATTTATACTGATCACAAAAGCCTACAACACATCTTGGATCAAAAGATGCTTAACATGAGACAGAGGCGGTGGGTAGAATTACTCAACGACTATGATTGCGAAATTAAATACCATCCAGGAAAGGCCAACGTTGTAGCCGATGCGTTGAGTAGGAAGGAAAGGGTGAAACCCTCACGAGCACATGCCTTCGGAGCCCTTGTTCAAACCAGTTTGAAGAGCGAAATCCTTGCTGCTCAAGGCGAAGCATTAAAAACTGAGAACTTGAAATGTGAAACATTGCACGGCCTGGAACAACATTTGAAACAGTTCAGATGGGTGAAGTACTTCAAAAATAGGTATGGGTACCAAAGATCGACGAATTACGTAAGGTAATTTTAAAGGAAGCCCATAATTCCCGATACTCGATCCACCCTGGAGCCGACAAAATGTACTTGGATCTAAAGGAATACTATTGGTGGCCTGGAATGAAGAAAGATATTGCTTTGTATGTTGGGAAATGTTTAACTTGCTCCAAAGTGAAGGCTGAATATCAAAAGCCCTCCGGTTTGCTTCAGCAACCAGAAATACCTCAATGGAAATGGGAGCAAATATCCATGGATTTTGTTACTAAGCTACCGAGGACCGTGAAAGGACACGATTCTATCTGGGTAGTGGTGGACAGACTGACGAAATCCGCACATTTTCTTCCCATTCGGGAAGATTACCGAATGGAACGACTTGCTCGAATTTACATAGATGAGATCGTAGTACGTCACGGAGTACCTATTTCCATCATATCGGATAGAGATGGCCGTTTTACATCTCGATTTTGGCAGTCGCTTCAAAAAGCCTTGGGGACACGTTTAGACTTAAGTACCGCATATCATCCCCAGACAGACGGTCAGAGTGAACGAACCATCCAGACGTTAGAAGATATGCTCCGGGCTTGCGTGATCGACTTTGGAGGAAGTTGGGATAACCATTTGCCATTAGTTGAGTTCTCCTATAATAATAGCTACCATACCAGCATACAATGCGCCCCCTATGAGGCCTTGTACGGGCGTAAATGTCGCTCCCCACTATGTTGGCTGGAAATTGGCGATAGGCAGTTAACGAGACTGGATTTAATTCAAGAGACCACTGAGAAGATCTCGATAATACGTGATAGACTGAAAGCTGCCCGCGATCGCCAGAAGAGCTATGCTGACAAGCGTAGGAAACCTTTGGAATTTCAAATAGGAGACAAAGTACTCTTAAAAGTATCCCCATGGAAAGGAATCGTGCGTTTTGGTAAAAGAGGAAAACTGAGTCCCCGTTATGTAGGACCCTTCGAGATTATCGATAGGGTCGGTCCAGTGGCATATAAATTAAAGCTACCAGATGAACTGAGTGCGATACACGACACATTCCATGTGTCGAACCTCAAAAAGTGCTTGGCGGAGGAATCCCTACACATACCTCTCGGGGACCTCCAAATTAATGATCAACTAAAGTTCGTGGAGGAACCTGTAGAATTCTCGATCGAGAGGTTAAGCAACTAAAACGAAGTAAAATACCGATCGTGAAAGTTCGTTGGAAC